ATTTTTTTTTTTAATTGTATTTACAAATTATAGTTCACATCTTCCTGGCTGTACCAAGAGATAACAGAAAGGAAACAAGGGAAAAATAAAAAAATAAAAAAAAAAAATTGTATTTACAAATTATAGTTCACATCTTCCTGGCTGTACCAAGAGATAACAGAAAGGAAACAAGGGAAAAATAAAAAAATAAAAACAATCCTAAACCTCCTATTTTAAAATCTCCCCCTCTTGTGAAATGTCTCAGTGTTCAATAATTCAATTGTTTGTGTTATGTTTACTGGTCATTATAGACCTCTTTGTTAAACACAGCTACCGTTGAGATCATTCTTCATCTCGAGGAGGAGATAAAGCTCTGTGTTTTCTCTCCACATCTGCACATGGCAAATCTCCAAGATCAAGTTCTCGGCCCATATCTGAGAGTGCTTGTTTTACGAGCTTTATTTTTTTAAAAAAATCATGAGAACACAGACCTACATATAAAAGGAGTACTGGCTTCTCTGCCTTAAAAACAGATAAATAATTCAGGAAAATTATGAAAGATATGTGTTTTCCAGCTGCTGTTTGTGAGTTTCAGTTGCTAGGTTGCTGCTATCAAAGTTATAACTAAGTTGCATGGTTACGCTTTGCTTGGTCTTCCTGTCCCTGGCAACTGGGTTAAGGACTCTGCCCTTCAGCTATCTGATTAGAGCAAATTGATGGGCTAGGGGGTGAAATAGTACTAGTCCCTACTGTTTGCTTTTATTTCATAACCAAAACCTGAAGCTCCTCATGGAATCAATGTGTGATACATTAGCTTAAGGCTCGTTCCCTGCCCCAATCCCCACACCTACTGATGCTGTTGCAGAAGCAGAACGTTTTGGAAGCAGAAACAAGAACATGGTCTGGATAGTGCAGAGCTTCCCCCTCCCTCATGTAGCAGCAGCAGCTCAAAGTGTTGCATTCATTTTTTTCTCTTACAGTAGCATCCATAAATTTATATAAAGAAATGTTAATGGGAGGCATCCAGAGACTCCACTGGAATAAGAAATAAACTGTTCCCTGTTCTTATAGCCCTCAAAAATTAAATCACATTGCCGAGAAATGTTTGACAGGACATTTATGTTCTTAAGATTAGTTTATATATACAATAAAATCCAATTCAAACCCATTCTGGCACATGCTAATATGACAAAGACACATGGTGAGTCTCTGAGGATGGTATGATGGAGGTGCAAAAAGGGATGGCTTCTACGGGACAAAGGAAATGGGTTGAAATCAGACAGAACAGAGATGAGGCAGAACTTACATCATAGTTCAGAGAGTATGATCCTGACTGGGAGATTTAGCAGAAGCACTCCTAATAAATTGTCTAATTCTTCACACAAGTCTCACCTGTCATGATGCTTAGACATATTGTACGTCCAGCTGCACAACAAAACCCAGCAATTCATCAAGTAGCCACATTGTACGTCCAGCTGCACGATTGTGACAAAACCCAGCAATTCATCAAGTAGCCACAGTCAGTCACAGCAAGTGACACAAACTGTATGCAAACACCAATAGCATTTTGGGCAGCAAAATAACTAAATATGCAAATTATCCTCTTTCAGCCACTCCGCTAACCATTTTATCCTCTCCCCTTGGCAGCATGCCCCTTGGGTGCCAGCATATCTTTTAAAATGGACCCAGCCCCGCTGAGTTTTTCTTTCTTTCTTTCTTTTTTTCTTTCTTTCTTTCTTTCTTTCTTTCTTTCTTTCTTTCTTTCTTTCTTTCTTTCTTTCTTTCTTTCTTTCTTTCTTTTATATCCCGCCTATCTAGTCGGACCAGGACCACTCTAGGCGGCTGTAGAGGAAGACAGCCATCGGAACAGCTCTAGTGAGGAACACTATTGCCTCTTTGCTTGAAGAAGTTTACTTTTAATACTTTAAAATATTGCAGATGCATTTTAATGTACTTTTATTTTTAAAACCGTCCTAGGCACACTCCCGTTCACCTCTGGTGACTTTATTAAGAAAACAGTCATTCTATACTTTCCCCTCCAAATTGCTCTGATGGCACCCTGCCATTTTTCTATGAATGAAATATTTTACAGAATGAAAGCCTTTCTAAATGCCAGCTTGTTCAACAATAATAAACCTATTCAGTATTTTAAAAATTCTTGCAAGGATGCAGAGCCAAGCAGAGCTACCCAAGTAGGTCTCTGATAATTTGTGCTTTACAGTTTTCACAATTGCTTGCTTACTTACATTTACTGAATAATAATTGACCATTACATTTACTGAATAATAATTGACCATTTCATTTGTAGGGCTTACTTCTACCACCATGTGATCTGGGGCAGGGAATGGTTTTCCGTCAGTCGAGTCTGAAATACTCATGCCACTGCTGAATTCAGCACAGACCATCCTTTTGAAAGGCATCCAGTAGTAACTTAATCTCCATAAGCAGTCACAACTTTTAAAAGCCATCTAGGGTTGGCAGGTCTCGGAGCATTGGCTGAACTCTCAAGGAACTGCTGTGCTTTTCTATTTCTCCAGAGAAGGGAATAAATCTTGGGGAGAGTAGTACTAGATGAGGGAAAGGTTTGTTTTTTGGGTGTCAGGTGGCTTTAAAGTAGAAGTGGGCAACTTGATTACAATTTTTGTCCCGAATTCTCCAGGGACCACATGGACTGTCAAAAATGTGGTTATGATAAGCAGGGACAGAAGTGTCCAGGAGTCTATTTCTGATTTGGAAAGTTATTATTTTTGGCATTAAGTGTTGCAGAAAAGGCAAGTTATTATTCCTTGAGTCTTCCAGCTACCCTTTTGCAATGGCAATCAGATTTGAAAAATCTGAATGGAAATCATCACTAAGTGTGAAATACCACATTGACTCACACAACTTGCAACTTATCCCTACTAACTAGCCACTGTCTCGTTATTTTGGAGCCATGTATAAATGTATAAAAACTTGTCATGTAATCTCACTCTTATGACTGTGGAAGTAGAAATGATCCATGGAAGCTCACATTAAAATATAGCAGCTGGTCTTTAAGGTGCCACAACTTTGTTGTCATTTTTATTTTTCTTCTGTTATTGCCTGATTTACAAATACTGATATTTATTGTTAAGAATCGAGTACTTTGGTTAAAATTAAAGAATATTGTGCTTAACAATATTTGAATTTCAACCTACTATTACAACCACTATAATTCCTATTACTGTACTACCATTCTGTTTTTGGAACTGCTGCTCATCACAGTCCAGATACATGAAATTACTGTTATGTTGTGCTTGAGCAAGGACACTGCCATCTCATGGTTGCAAACAATATTTTCTAAAGGTATTTTAATTTAAAAGGGGAAAAAACACTTAGGCTGTCACAATGATTTTTTCTCCCACTGGCTCGATTTGTTTAGAACATTGCTGTCATTATGGAATTTTGTAAGCATGCTTCCATTTTGTTTGATCCTCATCATTCTATTAGCTGGAATGTGATTCACTCTGCAGTAATTAGTGAGGCATTTGTTCGTGAATGCTTGGGGCTGTTGCTGAAATGGAAATGAATGTATGGTTGCCAGCAAGGCATTGCTGTCTATCAGTGCAGCAAATTGTCAGAAGCTAAGAAAAGAATGTAAACAGGTCAAATGGTAATTGGAAACTGCTTCCTGGAGCAGGAGATCTTTTCTGACAATGCTAGTAGTTCAATGGGGGGTGAAAAGAAAGAAAAAGAACCCAGGTGACAATTCCCTTCCTTCCTTCAGTCAGGAACATACTGTATTTTCTTCCTCTGGTGCATAAACACATTCTGTATTCATCTTCACCATCCCTGAAGGGTTGTCTAGAGCAGTGGCCCCCAACCTTGGGCCTCCAGATGTTCTTGGACTACAACTCCCAGAAGCCTTCACCACCTCTGCTGGCCAGGATTTCTGGGAGTTGAAGTCCAAGAACACCTGGAGGCCCAAAGTTGGGGACCACTGGTCTAGAGCCAGTCTGTCCAGGATGCCTATGGACCTGGGGCAGGTGCAATGTTGGGGATTTCTTTAAACAAACTCACATATAGAAGGTTAGGAGATGACATAGAAGTCACTCTCGTACAACTGACACTCGGCTGTACCTTGCCTGAGAAACAAGAGGGACTTTCCTTGCCAAAGGTACTGTAGATTGGCAAAGTTTGTCTCAAAGGCAAAGTACCAACACACATTTGGTAAATTTATGTTATGAAGTTAAGAAGTAAAGAACAACAGTGTTAGAAACATTTTTTTCCATTTAGGTATGTACAAAGGTGATTATGGTTCTAAATGAAGTATTTCTTTCTTACCTTCATGGATGGCAAATGTTAGCTGCATTATCATAATGTATTTGCTTTACAAGTAGGTTCCTCACTAAGACAGGATAGCTGGGTTCAGCCTCTCCACCCCACCACTGTTGACAGGTGCTTCTTCAAAATAATCCATTTACTAAAAGTATATCCCCTCCCCCCATACAACAGAGGCAGTGCATATTAGAAGCAAAAGCATACCTGAAAGAACGGAGATAAGGAAAACAAGAATAGAGAGAACTGCCTTACACTGAGTCATGCCACTAGTCCATCTAGTGCAGTATTAACTCAGACTGGTAGCAGCTGTCTAAGATTTCCAGTGAAATTCTTTACTGGCCCTACCTGGGGATCCCTGCACCTGCTGAACCTGGGAAAAGGCACTCCTAGCAGCTACCTGGCTTTTTAGGAGCCATGCTCAGTCAAAGATTAACCCCAAGCTGGTATTTACGGTAATATATGTTAAATAGCTGTTTCTAAATAATAGACCAACAGAATGTATTGTATATCAGTGGACTGGAAAAACAGAATCTAAAATGCAGATTTTGTTAGTGTGTGATAACAAAAATACAAAACCAGTCTTTTGCTTGAGCATGTTGTCACAGAAGTAGTAAAGCTAAACAAAAATGATGACTTAAATCTTTTAATCAATCTTTTCAATCAAATCAGAACAGGAAATTTGGCTGTAGTGGACTTTTATTAAAAGGAAAGTGCCACTGCTTGCAATACCTATACAACAATAAACGTAATCAGCTTGGATGTTTTATTAAAGATAATGACTGAAATCCAGTTGCTTAGCTTAGTAAGTCACAACTAGCTCACTGAATCAATGGGGATTTGTTGAGTCAGCTCCTCCATAAGTTCCACTGATCCAGTGGGCGTAATCTAGTTCCAACATACAAATCTAAGCAAAAAGATTTCAGCCAATGTATGGTAGAAATTACAGAAATGTGAAAGAAGGACAAGGAAACATTCATGAATATGAGAAGCACTATTCTTGCCTACATTTACTTGTGGACAGAAGGAAGGAAGGAAGGAAGGAAGGAAGGTAGGTAGGTAGGTAGGTAGGTAAGGGAACATCCTTCCTTTTACCCTGCTGGTGGAAGTTCAGTAGGGGTTCAGCTGAGAAGGTTCTTTTTCCATCTGATAATTGTTCTGCTTGTGTTAGAAATAGATAAAAGCTGTAACTTGCTCAAAAAGATATGTGAAAGTACATTACCAGTGAAATACAAACATCACATAACATTGTATAGTGGAACAAAGGTAACCAAGATGGTTCATGGCCATAGAAAAACTTAGTATAAAGAGATGTTTAAAGACATTTTAATATAATAGTCAATTTAAATAGCAGTTTAAAAGTAATATTCAATGCCATGTGAATATTTGATGCCACGTGATGCCATTAATATGAATATATATGCTTGCTTTATTGACTGTGATAGAGCATCTGACAAAGGCAACATGGTAAGCTGATGTTGTTGGTGAACAATTATCTTGATTTAAGAGTACTATAACTTGCTACCTGTATGCTGGGGGTGGGGGTGGGGACCTGGAACAACATTTCAGTTATAGCAATGGGAAAAAAGTCATAATGGAGATAGCTTGGAGCAGCTTCCTTACGAGGAAGAAGATAATAGGCAGAAAAAATGTTTAATTAGTTCTAAGAATGCTCAGTACTGTGCAATACTGAATACTCTTGGTTTGTGTGAGCTGAAATGGTAAACTTCAATACAAGCTACTATAAATAAGTTCGTGACATTTTAAATGTGGACTCACTGCAGGATGCAAATAATTTATTTGACCAAGAGGGTGACCAAGAAAAATTGAATGGGTAAAAGTCAAGGAATAATAAAACAGACCAAAAAAAATTAAAATAAATCATAACACTTTGGTCATATAATGAGGCGTGAAAAGTTCAGAATCTTACAGCTTAAAGAGACAGACCAACTGGCTGAAAAACCCAGGAGACAATTTTGAATGCTACACAACATGATTGGCTCATCTTCTGTATTCTGTGGTCTTCTCCTTTATTTGGCTACCCATTTGACAGTCTGTCCATGAAAGAAAGAGGCTCTTTTTACACAAAGGTCCTTTCACAACTTTAGCCATGGTTGGTTCTGTAGAAGGAAGAACCTGTACTTTTGACCCATGGCTATTTGCCGAATCTCCAGCTGAGGTTATTCATACAACTAGACGAAGACATAGTCACTCCAGCTAAGCAGAAACAAGGTTGAACAGCTTGCTGTGTGGTCAGTATGGTCATTACAATGACTTCAGGTTATTGGTATGAGAACATCCTTGAATGATCTTCAACCCTTTGTCTTTCTCCAAGCAGCTTATAACCTGTTAATTGACTGGTGTACATTTCCAGGTGGTCAAAAGGACACCTTATAAGGAAGGTCATTCTCCACATTCCATCAGTGCTGCCAGAGTGTAGTGTTAAACATGTACTTTAGATGTGGACTTACTTTCATATGTGCTTTGACTGTAGACAGACATCCATATAAGTAGCACTGTCTCAAAGGATGAAGAGGAGAAAACTTCCCTCTTGCAAAGCTGCATGGCAGCAAATTGGTTTCCATGTTTCCTTTGGTACTACTTGATGAGATCCATCCAACAGTGATTTTTTGCTAATTAAAGCCAGTACCATGTCTTGCATAGTTCTTGAAGTGCTACACAGTTAGGATCCTCTGTGAGAAAGATGGCTGCTCATTATCTCTTTCCTGATAAATGCCATTAGACGGAAGTGTTCTGAGAAGGAAATCAAAAGACTAGTCAAATTATTTCATTGAGATATTTTTTTTCCAAAGGAGGTAAGTGACTCAGCAGTGGAACCTCCACTAGAAGAATTTATACTGATGATACAAGTTGGCTGCATTGACTTCTTGCATATAACCCACCATTTAAAGTTTTACAATGTAAACAACTCTGTTTTCAGCCAGCAATGGAGCTCATGGAAGACCAGAGGTTTCTACATTTCCAGTCCTCAATCTTCCATCTATTGATGAAAGCAGCCATGAGCAGCATATGCCTCCCAGGTGGCCCCATTCAGGGGCCAAACACTCCCAGACCCCAGCATTTTTATCAGAATTTTGTGGGGAGGATTAGAAGGTGTAAGGTGGCTTTTTCAGGGTTTTTATACATTTGTAATGAAAAAATGTTTGACACAGAGGCCACAAGGGAAGTCTTCCAAGATCCATATACAGGCATTGTGGTCATCAGACCTCTGGAAGTTGCCCACCCCTGATTTATAACCTGCCCTGAGTGAAATTTTGTAACACCTGATGAGGTTACAGCTGTGCATAAATGGCTTTGTCAAATTCCTGATCCCACTTTTGGAAAATAATTGGCGGGGAGGGGGGATTCTCACTGAATTTCTCCATAGTAAAGAGAAAGAAATGCAACTATTTCTCAGAGGCGGGCTAACCTTTAGCAAAGGACTGTAACACACCACAGCTTCGTTCATGTTTCCCAAAGGATTTTTATACTTACACTGTCATTCCTCTCTACCTGATCTCAAAAAGTCCCATAGAAGGAGAAACTTCTAAAACCTTCCCCAAGGCTTTATTTAACCAGAGTGTGGAAAAGGGATGACTGTGAATCGTTCAGTCCATATCAAGGTAATACATTTACCCAGTCACTTTTTTAAGGCTCAAAACTGTGTGCAAGTTGTTAGGGTCACTATCCTTTCATCAAGCAAGATGTTACATAAAGGAGAGGAGGAAAGGGATGGGAAACAGAAGGGGCAAAACAACAAAACTAGACCGAATTTAAAGTCCTTATGTCCCTATCCTGTCCCAGGTGGAGTGGAGGGTGTGTGTACAGACAGCAGCTATTCACATGTGATGTTCTTGGGTAACCTACTGCTACTGTTGAATTGCAGCATGAGGTTATCACTTTGAAGGCTGAGAAAAGAACAACAAAAGAGGAAACTTTAGGTCCTCTGTTGTTGCAAAAAAAAAGTCTTGTGGTAAATTTTACCATGACTCTGTCCTGTTTAATATATTTGTTAACTTACCCTGATATGGAAGAAGATGTGACATCATCTGGTTTTCTTACTTGAGATAAATCCTAAGAAGGGGAGCACAAACCTGTGAGATAGTTATGCCCTTGCCTAGCAAATAACTACTTCTGTGTGGCTTACATTTAGCTTGCCTTAAATAAGAACTAAGATCATGGCCACTGGTTCCATCACCTCCTGGCAAACAGAAAGGGAAGAATATATGGAGGCAGTGACAGATTTTACCTTCTTGGGCTCCATGATCACTGCAGATGGTGACAGCAGCCACGAAATTAAAAGATGCCTGCTTCTTGGGAAAACGATGACAAACCTGGATGGCATCTTAAAAAGCAGAGACATCACCTTCCCGACAAAGGTCCGCATAGTCAAAGCTATGGTTTTTCCAGTAGTGATGTATGGAAGTGAGAGCTGGACCATAAAGAAGGCTGACTGCCAAAGAATTGATGCTTTTGAACTGTGGTGCTGGAGGAGACTCTTGAGAGTCCCCTGGACTGCAAAGAGAACATGTTTGATATCTCAGTCAGGTCACAATGGAAAATCTGCATTACACTGAAGGATCACACTAGAAGAAGAGGAAATCAGAGTGCTACTCCTGTCCTCTGAAGATGCCGGCCACAGAGACTGGCGAAACGTTAGGAAGAACAACCTTCAGAACATGGCCAAAGAGCCTGAAAAACCCACAACAACGATCAAATCAGGTTTTACCTTCACATGTGATCTCACCCAATGTCTGTTCCTCCAGTGACCAGATTATACTCTGTGCTTGGTACCTTCACATGTCATCTCACCCAACGTCTGTTGGTCCAGTGACCAGATTATACTCTGTGCTTGGAAAAAATGGGAAGCCTGCACAAGGAGGTGACCTGGAAGACAGAAGTCTCTTCCTCTGCTCTCCAGATAATGCTTTGTGTGAAGGGTCTGCAGGTGTATAGATGCACACATGAAAGTGAATGTGCCAGCACTGGGAGTGATCCTGCCCACTGCTGGCCTCCACCATAATAATCTGGAGCCAGTAGAGATTTGTTCTTTAGCCGAACAGCACCTGGAGGAGGCAGGGCAGGGAAGCCAGGGCACTGCCTCGGAGTGGGTGCCCACTGGAGGAGGAAGGGCTGGGAACTGCCAAACATCTGTTCGGCCAAAAGATGAACCAGCACAAACCGCTGGTTCGGCAGTTCATGCCTATCTCCAGGAGCCAGCAAATGTGATGTCCAAAGTATTTTGATCTCTATGAGTGTAGAGTTCAAGAAACGGGCACTCGAACAATACTGAAAGTCTCACATAGGAGCCAGCAAATGTGATCTCTATGAGTGTAGAGTTCAAGAAATGGGCACTCGAACAATACTGAAAGTCTCACAAGACAATCTTACCGGCAAAGGTTCCATTCTGAATGTTGCGGCTGATGCTGTCTCCTCACTCATTTCTCCAGACTTAGTGCTCTGCTTAGGTCGATACTGAGTCACGTATTCATATGTGTTCATGTTCTTACCCACTGCATACAAAAAGATTATTTGCAATTAATTACATTTGAACATACATTCTGGAAGTACATTCTGGAAGTTTCCTTCTAAGCTTCTGGAAGGAAGATTTAGAGGCTTGCCTGCATCAGATTGTCTCTGCCCTTGTAATAGTGATAAAGTTGAATCAGTTGGTCATGTTTTTCTTTTATGTACTTGTTATCGGGATCTTCACATGGAGCTTTTATCACCTATTATCTGTAAATCTCCTGGGAGATCAGAGGAGATTCAGAGATTCAGAGGAGGATTATGTGCAGTGGCTACTCTCTGACAATACCCATTATATTACAAGGCAAGTGGCCAAATTCTGTGCTGCAGCAATGGTTATTCGTAAACTGATGTTTGGGTAGGTGATTTTAGATGGACAATATAATGTTTTTAATATAACACTGCCTGAGGTTTTACCTATATTAAGGATATATTATGTTATTAATTGGAAAGAAGGGGTTGCTTTATCATGTTTTAATAGAATTTTATTACCCTGCCCGACTTTACTAAACAATAATTATATGTATCTATTTTATATTGATTTGGTTTTACTGGTCTTTGACAGTAATAAAGTACAGTGGTGCCCCGCTTGATGACGACGAAATCGCTTGACGATGAGTTTTTTGCGATCGCTATAGCAATCACAAAACGATGGTTCCTATGGGGTTTCTTTTTGCTTTACGTCAATTAGGTGCCTGCTTCGCGAACCGTTTGTTCGCAAAACGATGTTTTTTCTGGCTCCGCAAAATGGCTTCCCTTCGCAAAATGGCTTCCCTCCCTTCGGACAGAAGCTTCGGAAGATAGTGATTTTAAACAGCTGATCGGTGGTTCTCTATGTGCGATCTTCGCTGGACGATGAGGTATTTCCCCATTGGAACTCATTAACCGGTTTTCAGTGCATTCCAATGGGTTTTTTTCCGCTTGACGACGATTTCGCTTAACAGCGATTTCCTGGAATGGATTATCATCGTCAGGCAGGGCACCACTGTATACTACTACTTCTACTACATTCTGGAAGTTCTGTAGCTTAAATGGGTGCTGTTAAATTCATTACACATGCATACTATCCTTAAATACAATCTAATTTAATAATCTACAGTGTGGATTTCTATAATATGTCATTCATACTCAAATCAGAAACACAGTGATCATGACCACCACTTCAGTATGTGCATAGCAGGGATTTGCCCTGCAGATGCCTCTCCTCAAAGATGCTTTCACTACAGCAGAGTCTCAACATGCAGCAGTTAATTTCGTCTCCTCTCCAATTAGCACAGGGATAAACATGCTCCTTGCCCCTGGATCCTCAATCTCAGCCTGCTTCTCTTTGCATAACCCCAACCTTTCATCTGTAGCCTGTGTTCTGTTTCTTAGCAACATGGCAAAACAGTGTAAAAGAATGTTGGGAACAGGCTACCCTACAGAGAGTTTAGAAGAGAAGCAAACACAAGCAGATAAATAGAAGCAGCTATAGAAATGAGGGATTGGGCAAAAATGTAAAATCAAATTGAGTCCAAAGTATTTCTATGTTTCTAGGGTACTGCAATGAGCTGCTAGTTGCTCATGGGGTGGATCAATACTCCCACAGACAATTCACATGACATCTGGCATTCCTGGGATTTTAAAGCTTTTAACCAAAGTCACTCCACAATTTTCAGTGAGGAAATAGCAGTCAAGTAGACTGATCTCCCTGGGACATTCCAGACACAGAGGCTCTAGGGAGGCCTCAGACCTAGGTCACCTATGTGTTATATACCCCCTTACAGCCACTCCACCAGCCTCGTGCATAGCTGTAGGGCAAAACTGAGGGCCTGCGCTATTATAGCTAGGTAGGTTTCATGTTCTATAGTTTTCTTTTTTCTTTTCTTTCTTGTTGAGCTTAGTTTGTTTATCAAGTGGTTTACTAATAGGATTCTTTGTGATTGTGGACCAATGCCTGTATTGTTCCTTCATAGGCTTAGATTAGTGCAGAATTAGTGCACTGGGATCTCTCTTCCCCCCCAGTCCTCCTCCTTTTTGCTTCTTTATGGTGGTGTAAATCCCACCACCTGCTAGCCTTTCTACAATTGCCCAAAGAAATGCCTGTGGGCAAAAGTATTTATTTATTTATTTGTTTGTTTGTTTGTTTGTTTGTTTGTTTGTTTGTTTGTTTGATTTTTATCCCGCCTATCTGGACCAACGGTCCACTCTAAAATTCTCTTGTCTGTCACATCCCTACAATTGATGGGTGTTGTGTAGCTCTATCCCACAGCTATTTACATTTTCTCCATTTGCAGACACTAGGTTTTTATGGTGATCTAAAACACACAAATAATCACATGGAGACAGACAAAGATTCAAAAGAGGACAGAGTGTGTCTGGCACTAATTTCTGTGCCCTTATTCAGACAAGGACAGGGTTGTGTGGGAGTGTAGGCTGGGGCACATAAAAATCAAGACAGAGGAGAAGGAGAGGTGCTAAAATACTTGGGGGGAAAATAATTGATTTATTTAGTTAGCTACATTCTGTAGTATTTATAGGCCAATACGGCTCACAGTGTTAAAATAACGTATACTAAAAACACAACAAATTGCAGATTAAAAAGTAATTGAACTGCCATAATAATTAGAAACCCAATAATTAGTTTAAAACATTTAAAACTTTAAAAATAAACTGAGACAAACAAAAACCCAGTATTCAGAGACTCAGGCATAGGTATTAAAAGCATGACTGATGAAGTGGGTCTTCAATTGTCAGTGAAAGGATAAAAGAGAAGGAGGCAACCTTACCTCTCAGGGAAAGGCATTCCACAACCTGGGAGCAGCCACAGAGAAGGCCCTCTCTCATGTTCCCATCAAATGCATCCACGATGGCAATGGGACCAAGAGAAGGGCCTCCTCTGAAGATCTTAAAGTCTGGGAAGGGGTGAATACAGTCCTTAAAGACTTTAAGGAATACAGGAGAGAAACAAACAATAAATCTCAGTATTTTTCTTTAGAATCCAGAAAGGCTGGTGTCCTAATATGTAACAACTGCAGAAGAAATACTCACGCTAGCAATATGGCATGGCTTTTCTGTACAGTGGCTATCTTTGCCTTTATGCTAGCAATATGGTTTTTCTGTACAGTGGCTATCTTTGCCTTTATTGCCCCCTAGTGATATGACGAGAAGATACTGTAGGTACAGCTGTGCAGAAAATGTCATTTGAAATTCTCTATCGTGTTTGGAAAATTTCACCGAATTTCACCATGAGAAGGAGAAATCCCTCACTAATTTCTCAAAGGTGAGGCTCACCGTAAGAGATAGTTATAGTATAGCATTATTCTTCCTTATTTCAAAGGGTTTTTCTTGTTCTGCAGTGCCTGCCTCTGCAACTGGCAGCTATAGTAATCCTCTCTTTCCAGGGGGAACAGGCTTGGTCCCTACTCTGCTTCCTCTACAAGGCACTTCTGCTACTGTTACTCTAGGTTACCACTCTGCTTCCTCAAGGCACTTCTGCTACTGTTACTCTAGGTATTATGGTGATGGCAGTAGGGGGAGGAATGTCTTCAAAAATGTTGGGGAGATTTTGAAAATAATCCTTCAGAGTGGCATTCTATTTCTAGAAGGGTCGGAAAAGCAAAATTCAAACATGAGAGAAAGGGTAACCCATTATTTGTTGTCATTCTTCTGGACCCACTACTTTCCTTGTGCCTTCAGAGCCTTTCTGAGGGGCAATTCAGCCTCCACTCCTGATGCTGGGTAATACAGTTCATTCCCTACAGCCTTCAGAGCCTTTCTGAGGGGCGATGCAGCCTCCACTGCGGATGCTGGGTAATACAGTTCATTCCCTACAGGAGGTGTGAAGTAGAGTGCTGTACATGGCTCCAGGACAAAAAAGGTGAAGCAGCAACTGTGGCATAATTTCCATAATTAGTTCCCCCAATTTCGGTACACAAAAAGGGTTATGTTTTCCCCACCACTTTCTCAAGTTTCCTCAGACTTTGTTTTCCTCATTGTTGATTTCTTTTCTTATTGTAACACTGAAAAGTGGTTGAGGGTGCTGCCATTCTTTTTTCTTTCTTATACCTCTCCTCATCATTCTGTAGCTTCCTTAGCACTCTCTCTCTCTCTCTCTCTCTCTTTCTTTCTTATACATTTCCTCATCATTCTGTAGCTGCCTTAGCGCTCTCTCTCTCTCTCTCTCTCTGCTTCTTGATCTTAAAAAACCCTGTGGAAGAAATTGCTATTCCTGGGCTTTAACTAAAGTGTTAGAGCTGCTGGCTGCCAAAAAGAAAACCACACAGGGAAAGGCAAGACATGAATCCCAACACACTTCTTGGCCACTTCATAAAGTTAAGGGAAGCATCAGAATCCTGAACTTCACCCATGAAAATTTTGGGTTAAATTTTTCTCCTCATTCATAATTATTTTCAAAATGAATTTATTTTCTGTGAAAGTGAATGAAAATTGTTGAAATTCTCATGGGGAAAAAATCAGGACAGCACTATTTATTAAAGCATTTGACTCCTTTCCTTCTTTTAAAAAGACAGAGAAAGTTAAGTTGGAGACTGTACCCTAGCAAAACAGTCCACTAAAATTTTATCATGCAGTAAAATAAAGTCTCTTTCATATAATTTGTAATGGTTAGGATTGGGGCAAACAGGCTCTAAGATTTTTCTGATCCCACTCCCTATAATGGCAATCTTGATTTGAAATAGCCAGCCTCTTATGCATCTTTAGGTGTTCCATTTTGTGCTGCTGACCCCCTACCCCATTGCCAAATGCATAATTTCGAATTATTCTGTGTGTTTCTTCACAACTCTTCTACGTACAGAGATAGAGATGAAACAACAATAAATGTCCAAGCATGAGGAAAGAAGCACCTCCCAAAAGCACTGAAAATGTTGCTATGGCCAGGATTCCAGTTGCTGTCATCTCTACTGGAGCAACAGGAAGAAATGCCAGCCAAGTGTCATTTCTGCTAAAATCTGTTGGAGAGGGGAAAAAAAGTCAGAGGGAGGCAAAAGTCATTTTATTCTTATTTTGATTACCAGATAGATATTATAACTTCTTTTGAACACTCTTAAAAATATTTTTCTAAATAGTTACCCTTGTTTCAGAGCGAAACAATATTGAACTGGGAAAGCATGACTGAAAATCACTTTAAAAATATCACCCTTGAATTATAAAAAAAGTTCAGCACCTGAAGACAGTTTATATTCTGTCCCTCATAATATGATTAATTTTGTGTTAAAGTCAATCATATGGGCCCCCCTTACTCTCTAAAATTTATGTAAACAGAATATCCCTCAGCTTATAACTTTTATATTAAAAAAATACCTATGTACACCCTAAGGCAGAATTCTAGATATTCGAATGCCTCTTTGTTTAAAGTTTCATTTCATTAAATTCTTCTGTGGGAGAGTATAGACTAATGTCACATCTGAGGCAGTATGAGGCATATTGTCCCAATGTTTATTCATCCCCAGTACAAAGGTATTGAGCAACAGGAAGAAGTCAACAGGACAGCTACAGATCAAAACCAGGGCACTCCAGATATTTCTTCCCTCAGAACCGATCTCAGAGGGCAACACTAATCATCTTATATAGTGAAGTATACCAGGTCTGAGATCGTGGCGAGGGTGGACAATAAATTGAAGTGTGTCTTGGAAGATCTGCCTCAAAATCTTATGGACTCATTTGTCCTCCAAAATGGGCACTCATAAGGAATATGTACAGTGTCCAAAACTATCTTGTAGCTAGTGGAGTTTGCTATGTTCCAGGTTCTAAACAAAAAGCCAAATAAAATGTTAAAACAGCACATGGTGCCACCAGAAACTGGCAGCATATGGTGCCACCAAAAACTTGTTTAATCCTTTACATCTGTAACAACAAATGGCAGAAGATGTTAGGGAAGTGCAACCAAACATGATTTATGATACCTCTGTGGTAACAGTAAGAAAGATCTGGAGCAAGATTGAAGACTCACCTGTCAGTGTTCTGTTACTAAAACACTGGCTGATGGTTCTTCTATACAGTCTATTATTAATTTAATATATTTATTTAGAATATTTAACCCTGCCTTTCTCCTCAGAGGATTCAAGGTGGCTATCGGTACAGACTATCTAGCATACAAGAGAGAGGAAAGAGGTGTCATGCTCAGTCTCTCCCTGGTTGCTATTGGCCCCACCTTTCAGCACGCTTGAGATTCCACCTAATATCTAAATGTTTTAATTTTTCTGGCACCACCCCTTCTAAGGGATGTCTCCATCTTTGCAGAATAGTAAGTGGATCACATTAATATGTGACATATGACATAATGCCACATGTAGTGCATGATACAATACTGCAATTGTCTGAGCAAATGTTGAAGGTATTTATGTGGGACTTAAGTGTGCGTTTCTGTTAAATTCTTCTTGTTGTGCTTTAAATATCTATGTTTGTTGGAAATTCCCAATATTGGGTGGATGTTAGCAGTTAATTATAGTATATTTTAAAACAACATTAAAATCATTTTATAGGAGACAATTAAAAACCATCTGAAGTGAATCTATCATCATCACATGATTTTTTTTCTCCGTTTGTATATGGTAAACTAGTTTGTTCAAAGCACTCTTAAGTAGTAGACTTATATTCTTATACCTTTAAAACAGTAAATATTTGTCCCACCTCAAGGTTCCATCCCATAAAGTGTAGTAGTTACCTACTTAAGAATATTTACTTCTTACAATTTAACTCATTAACATAAATTGCATTTGTTGCTCTTTTTTTGTCAAAATAACCAAAGTAAGACTAGTAAATAAAATATTCTAGAAACAGTGTTTTAAAAGTAAGGCCAGAAAGGGTTACTCAGTTATTTATACATATGTGTATGCACAACCTTCCTGCTCACGGGATGGGTAGTCACACACCTCTAATAAAAGACTGGCTGCACAAGCCAATCTATAAAGGACTATGCATATCAGAGCTTTCATCCTCCACTTACTATATATTCTACAACAGCTTCTTTAGAACTGTACTAAAGAAGTCTTTGTCCGAGTGGTAAAAAAATTGGCTTTATATAAAGCCAATGTTGCTATCGGTTTAGAAGTGTCTTTTTCTTTATAAAATAAGGAGGTTACCTACCTGTAACCATAGTTCTTCGAGTGGTCCTCTGTGAATTCACACAAATGGGTCTGTTCTGCATCTGCGCTGAACATCTTGGAAGATTCTACAGCTTAAAGACACATTATTAGTGGGATGTTCCCCCGTGGAGCACATTGACACATTATTAGTGGTACGTTCCCCCGTGGAGCACATGATCTGCCCACCCAAGATTCCCCTCAGTTCCTGATATTTGCTAGGTAACAAGTTATTTAAGATAAACCGTGACAGACAGAGGGGAGGATGGGTGGGATGTGTGAATTCATGGAGGACCACTCAAAGAACTATGGTTACAGGTAGGTAACTTCCTTTTCTTCTTCGTGGTCTCTGTGAATGCACACAAATGGGCGACTAGCAAGTTTCACTTACTGGATGTTGGGACGTCATGGTAGGAAGGATGCCAAGACAGCTCTGCCAAATCCAGCATCACTTTGTGCTCTGACATCTAGACGGTAGTGACTGACAAAGGTCAATGGGGTAAACCATGTCACAGCACAGCAGATGTGAGGTATCTCAATCCCACACTGGAAGGCAGTAGAAGTTGACAGTGCTCTAGTAGAATGTACAGTTAAGTGATCAGGAGGTGATTTGCCTGATAGTTCATAGGCCAAAGAGTGGTTTGGACAATCCATCTGGAGATAGATTGAGGGGAGGCTGGAGCTACCTTGTGAGGACCATGGAAGCATAAAAAAAGTCTATTGGTTTTCCTAAACATTTTGGTCCTATCAATATAAAAGGCAAGAGCGCATCTTATGTCAAGAGAACAGAGCATGCGCTTGAGAGGTGTTGATGGTGATGGAAAGAATGATGGTAAAATGATTGGTTGATTGAGATGAAAGTCTGTTACAATCTTGGGTAAAAAAGAGGCATCAAAGTACAAGGTGACCTTATCTGGATGGAATTGTATGAATGGAGAATCAGAATGGAGGGAAGCAAGTTCACTGGCTCGTTTAGCGGATGCAATCATTACCAGGAAGGAAGTCTTCAAAGACAGTAATTTGAAGTTTGAGGAAGCCATAGGTTCAAATGGTGGATGCATGAGAGCATTAAGGACAATCTGCAGCAACCATTGACGTATGATCCGCTGACATGGTGGATGAATGTTACTGAGTCCTTTAAAAGATTTCTTTACCATTGGATGAGACAGGAGTTTTGCTGATTTCAAGTTATGTGGTTGATGAGCGACAATGGTGGAAATATAGACCCTTAAGGTGGAATGAGAGAGTCAAATTCAAAGAAATGGAGTAGAAAGGTAAGTAGCATCTTCAAAGAGACAGGTATTGCAGGTAGGTTATTTGTTCCAATAGTTAAGAAATGCTTTCCATTTATTTGCGTATAGAAGCTGGGTCGAAGGCTTTTGAGCTCGGTCTAGAACACGCTTCAAGGCGGGAGTATCCTCCAAGCTGTCAGATTCAACAATGGGACGTGTGGGTGGTAGACCATTCCACCGTCTTGTGTCAGGAGGTCAGGAACAGGAGGGAATCTGAATGAGTCCTCATCAGGGAGCTAGGAGGATTGCATTCAATTGGAAATGTTGAATTTGGATAATTGTCCATTGAATGAGTGGTATTGGTGGGAATAGGTAAAGTAATCCTTTGTCCAAATCCGTCATGAACATGTCCTCGATAGAATTCTCGTCTGCTCTGGCTCAAGAGCAATAGACTTCGCATTTGGCATTTGCTCTCGAAGCAAAGACATCAATGGTTGGTACTCCCTATCAACGGCAAAGATGATCGAATGTGGAATTGTTCAAAGATCACTCGTGTGTTCTCGATGTCAGAAGGCTGAGGTGATCTATGATGTTATGGGGAAGATGTGATGTTGGTGACACCATTCCCATAGGTCAATAGCGAGGTACAGGAGGGTCAAGGAATTGGTGCCTCCCTGCTTGTTGACATAGTATAGAGCTATAGTATTGTCTGTGGCAAGTTGTACTACCCAACCCTCAATGATTGGAAGGAAAGTGTGGAAAGCTTTATTAATCGCTAGTAGCTCAAGATGATTGATATGAAGTAATTGTTCTTGATTTGTCCATAGTCCATGAATCTTGTGATGAAGACAGTGTGCTCCCCAGCCAGATGGCCTGGCATTAGTGGTAACTTGCACGGTTGGGTTGGAAGAACAGGAAGGGTCTTCTGATGAGCACGTACGGCATCGATGTCCACCAAGTGAGTTGTTTGGCTAGTTCTAGTATCACTGTTAACCTTGTGGGTGGGTGGTCTGTCATTGGGTTGTATAGTGACAAGTACCACGACAGGAGAGGCCTCATTTTGAGTAGGGCATGCTGAATCATTGATGTTGAAGATGCCATGAGCCCGAGGAGGTGTTGGACGTGACGGGCTGGTATGGAAGGTTGAGCCTTGAAGGGTTGAATGGCAGTCTTTAGTTTTGTAATTCTTTCCTGGGGAATAAATGCCCTGGCCTGCAAGGAGTTGAAGAGGGCTCCAATGTAAGTGACCCTTTGGGCCGGCTCGAGGTGCGATTTTCTAAAGTTCATCTTGAGTCCAAGAACTTGAAGTGTGTCAGGAGTGATGGTGGTGGCTCTGACGGTGTCGTGGTATGATGTTGCGACTATCAGCCAGTCGTCTATGTATGGATAGATGTTTATATCTTGAAGTCAAAGATGTGCTGCAACTGGTGCCATGCACTTTGTGAAAGTTCTCGGTGCCATGGATAGACTGAATGGGAGGGAGCAGAATTGATATGTGATGTTGTTGAATTGGAATCGCAGAAATTTGTGATGTGATGGATGAATCAAAATATGGAAATAGGCGTCCTGGAGGTCGATCACAACAAACCAGTCTCCCTGTGAAAGTAGAGGGATAATAGTGTCTAAGGTCAACATTCTAAATCATCAAGGTCGAATGAATTTGTTGAGGTGCCTGAGATCGAGGATCGGACGGAGTCCTCCATCCTTGTGACGTGTGCCATGACGTCACCTGCCTGTCTTGGCTAAGGCTGGAGTTTCCTGGCCTATGGCAGGGCAGGAGGTGGGTCTTAAAGGGGTGGAGTTTTTGTATATAAGGGTGAAGTGCAAAGAAGGAGATATATAGAGGGCTGAGAGAGGGCTTGAAAGAAGATCTGTAGACAGGGTTAGATATAGGTTAGGTAATTGAGTGTTAAGTAACAAAGAACTGTGCAGGGTTAAGGTCTGAGAAATATACCACAGACACTCTCTCTGGACAAATGCTGGCTCTATGGCTTGGAATGGGGATGAGCACCGTGCCCTAGAGTCGGACACTACTGGGCTAAATGTCAAGGGGAACCTTTACCTTTACCTATTGGTCATTAGTTATAGCTTGCCAGGAACGAAAAAATGGGTTTAATCTAGTTTGAAATCAACACTAGAAGCGGTGTGTTGGCATTTTAGATTTATGGATACTGCTGGTACTGTTTACCCTTTTTCTCGGGTCGATGAAAGGGTTGGCGTCATTGAGATTGATGTTGACGCCGAAAGGAAGATGATACCGGAGGTGAAGGGCCTTGAAATGACTAGTCTCTTGACTGTGGTTTAAATTGTCAGTAAGGCTGGAATCTTTGATATGGCTGTTGATGGAATGATTGCTGGTAAAACTGATTCTGTCTGTATTGAGGACATTGATATCTGAAAGATTGCTGGGTAGAATATGATCTTGCAGTTTTCCTTATCTTATGGAGGTTCCCCATAACCTCATCAGTTTTTTTGGTTGAAAAGCCCTGTACCGTCAAAAGGGAGATCCTCTGTCCTTGACTTCGCATCGTCAGAATGGCCAGTGGATCTGAGCCATGTATGATGGCATAACGTTATTGAGGTGGCTAAAGTCTTTGATGGCATGCCTGCCAAATGTCAAGCTGTGATTTTCTGTTGTTTGAACAATGTAATGGCTTCTGCATTGGTGTCGATAACCTCAGGCTTGATGGACTCAGGTTCTGATTCAAGTATGGGGAGGATCTTACTCCATAGTTGGCATTGGTAAGCCCCCTTTGCTGCCTGGTAATTTGCAACTCTGGGCATGAAAGATGTAAGTGAATATATTCTCCTGCTGAGTATATCAAGTTTCTGACCCTCTCTATTGGTTGGGGCAAGTGAAGATCTGTTCCAAGCCCTGGATTAATTAGACTCCACAATTATGGAGTTGGGCGTAGGATGTTTCGGAAGGAATTTGGTGTCAGGACTATGCGTTTTATAGTGATTTTCAGTCCATCTCAAAGTCTGTAATAAAGATGGGGGTTTATCCCAGGATTCCTTAATCAGTTCTAACATTGCTGAAATAAAAGTAAGGCTGAGTGGAGGTTTTTTTCCAGATTAATATCATCAAAATTAGGTCTGCTTTGGGTGATGGGGGCTCTTCTATGTCCAATTGCAGGGATTTGGCTATTCTTGAGATCAGTTGGGAATAGGAGGTAAAAACCTCGGATGGAGATGGAGGGTGATTTTCATTGTCATCAGAGGGAGGCGTGGGGAGGTTAGAAGATGATTCCTGGGATGATTCAGACTCCAGTTCTTGAATAGAGGATGATAAGGAAGATGGTGATTGATCTCTGGGCCTTGGTAAAGAAGGAAGTGCAGGTGGAGGCTGGAGTTGGAAGGAAGAGTGTGATGGACGTCTTTCCGATTCAACTGAAGGATGGGGACCTGTATATGTAGTTGTAACCTGGACTGATTGTTGGTGTTTGGAAGAATGTTTAGACCATTTAGAATGGGCTGCCTGAGTCATCAGGATCGAATGCTTCAGGGTCAGTTTAGACGGGACTGGATCAGTATAAACAGGCATTGATTGTGGAGAATGGTGTCGACGTTGCGGTGGAGAAGGAGATGGTGATAAGGAATATCTCTGCTGATATGGTAGTGTGTACCTGACTCATTTTGGTTTGTCATAATAGAAGCGTTCTTGTGGTGCCTCCATCAAATAAGGGTCATAATACTGGTATCTCTCATCCACCTCATCATCATGATGATATTGTGGGAACTGGGGATAATGATAATACTCTCCATATGGAAGAATATGCCGAGGAGGCAAGATGTGTTTACACTTCTCCCAGGGTTTTCGGGGTGAGCGGTGTGATGACTCCAATCACAAGAGTTGCATTTCAATTGCCCACCCTGATGAAGCTAGAATGGGCTCAAGTCTGGCTGGCTGGAACATCAGCTGTAGAGAGGCCAGTATGAGGAGCTAGGCTACCGGTCGGCACTGGAACCGGAGCAATTGGTAGCTGCGGCTCTTCTCTTTTTGATGTGGAGCTGTGAGCATCTCTTGAGGACTCCTCCATAATGGGCGATGGTAGAGTCGGCTGTGGAGGGTCGATATGGACCGACTTGACTCGTTTTATCTTTTTCAGGATTGATTTATCTTTCTTTTTCTTAGGTGTTTCTTGGGTTTGGGCCGAAGTCTTCAATACTGATGTCAATTTTGGCTTCGATGTCGACCTGGCTTTATCAGACTTATTCTCTTTAGAATGAGGAGAAGGAGTCACAGGGTCGGAAGCAGGCTGGGATTGAGTTTGCCGCTCTACCAACGGATCTGGGGATCTTGCCACCTCAATTTAAGCCGAGGGGGAATTCAGAGACCTCCCTCAGAGGTAAGATCGGCACCTCTGGAGTCTAAGTTTAAGTGCTGGCTTCGTAAGTTTTTTGCAAGCTGCACAAGAGTGGGTGGGATGTTGCTCACCCAAACAGAATAAGCGACGGTCATGCCCATTTGTCAGAGATATTTCATTCAATCAGACAATGCACTGCTTAAACGGGCCTGGCGAGGCCATAAAGAGCAGGGAAAAAGACGAAAAACGGTTTGTAGATAGTGGGGAGGGGGGAGCCAAAATGGAGATAGAGAAAAGTAAACCTAACTCACAGGGGAATGTCTATTAGATGATTGGAAAGTAAAAGTGGTAAATTTGAAGTGTTGATTAGAATAGAAAATATTAATGTAAATCGCTCAGTGAAATTGCTCATTTCTTCCGGAGGTACGTACGAATGACACAGCAGAAAAAAGGAACTGAGGAGAGTCTTGGGTGGGTGGAGCATGTGCTCCACGGGAGAAAGTCCCGACAATCATGTGTCTTTATGTTCTAGAATCTTCCAAGACGTTCAGCACAGGCACAGAACAGACCCAATTGTGTGCATTCACAGAGACCACGAAGAAGAACCTTTGTTTTAGGCTTTTGATGCTAATTGATGCTATGTCAATTAGCGGCCTTAGTTTTCATACATGTTTTATCCCAGCATCTACAGTTAATAACAATAAATTGAAGAGATTTGTAGTCTGTTTAGAAGGAAATGCCAGATTAGGGAAGACAATGTAGGAACCCAATGTTTATTTCCGAACTGATGTTTTAAGTAATGAATAACATTGATTCAATGAGCTTTTAAACATTATCAGCAATGAATAATTGCAAATCCCTCAGGTTTAAAATTTAAAAAATTAAATTTTCAGCCCAGTTCTGATAAATCTTTGCTCATATTAATTTTGATTTTGACAGAAGTTAGGAATTACTCAAATCCATTCCACTCTGTATTATCCTAATGAACCTGCTATGTAAGCTTTGTGTTTAAGAAATCACAGTATTTCATTTCAGCAAATACCTCAAAGTACAACTAGGATACAGAGATGTAAAAGGTTACTTTAAATTAATAGAACAATACTTTCAAACTGAGGCGAGGTCCGGAGTTGTGCTGGATCGACAAAAAACTGGACGAAGACATAGAGGATCACCACTATCATGAGGAAGCTCCCAGCAACAGCAGAAACAATTGCGTTGAAGAAAAACCTGTGCACACAGGAAGATTCTACTCACCTGAAGAAACTACACAGTTACACTGTGATTAAGCAAACAGTTCTTTAGAAAGGACACAAGAGTGGACTAACATGAAGGTGTCCCCTTATCTCCTTCTGACTCTATTCTCTTTGAAATGAAAATACTGTGCCATTTTTCTAGAGCCTGGGAAAATAACTCTTCCAGCCTCTGCAATTTTCCTACCTTCGCACAGGAAATGTCTGTGCCAACATGTACATTCCACTGTATATACTGTATCCATGTTGTCATGGTTAGGTAGGTTTGGAAGCCGATCAGTGCAGAATCTGTCAAACAGCTGCCTACAGCAAGAGACCTCTGCACAGTTTTCACACTTGACTGCAAGCAGTCTTATCATTTTCCAGCAATTGTTTCCATACCAGGTTGCAGAGAACCCTGCAGTTCTTTGGAACCTTATCAGAGGTTCTGCAACGGAAAACATACTATTAGAAATTACGCAATTAACACTTTTAGTGAGCAGTATACACGTGGGTAATTAAGTGTTATGTAATTACCAGTAATACTTTTAGTGAGCACTATACACGTGGGTGCACACAATACACAGACGCACTCAAGGACATTAAATATACCAAATTTCCCTGAATGCTGGCATATACACATCCCACAAAATCCTCCCCTATGAATAAGCAAGTGGACAGGGGTAGTTGAGTACAAAGCCATACTGACTAGAATAGCAGTTGTAGTCCAAAAAAGTAAGGTTCCTATCCTCAAATTTTAGATCACATTCTCACATTCATTCTGCATAATACTGATATCTATTGGTGCTGGCTTTCCACAGGTCCCCCCCCCCCCCTGTGTTGGGCTGTGTGTGTGTGGTGGCGCACGCCGAAAGTGCACCTTGATCTGAAAGATGGAAGTGGGGAGTGGATGCTTCTCCTTCTAACTGTTCTTAATGGCAGCTCTGCTTTATAGATGGGGTCAATAAATTTAGCATTTCATTGGTCAGCTACTGTTAGCTTACCAGTAGTTTCTGCTTCCAACACAGTTATTAAGCCAGTTGCAATGGTGGTCGAAGTTCTCAATACACTTATTGCAGGTACTACAGTGTTTGGTTTTTGGCCCCCTAGGAAGAAAAACGCATTAAAAATGGAACTAAATTTGAGTACTAAAATAGGCCACATATAGGTCTCATATTATGGCAGCCAGAATCCTGTCAGAATGGCACACATATACCAGCAATCTCATTAAGTGCTACACCCAATCCTGCTGCGGTCCATTGTACATTTGGACAAGTCTGAAGTGCACACAGTTGCTAATCCCATGACAGCAAGCGAAATGTGATGGGATGGTATGATTGCCCAATGCATGGTATTTCATGATAGGATTTTGGCAGGTAAGTAGCACACCTCTAGTGCTAGTTTGGGGCACTGGAGTTGCAGGGCCATCAGTGGGTATGTCCAGACTCCAGACTACTGGAAATTGTCCCATCCCACCCCACATCTAGATAGATTAAGAGTATCCAACCAGGTGTTAGTGAGTAACAAGAATTAAGTAGCTGTTTAATCTATAACACTGATATTTTGGCAAATAAATAGGGATTTACAAATTTGGAATTATGGAAGGTACTTACACATCAGCTTCACAAAGATAGCAATGCTGGTTCTGAATGACATGCTTGCATTTGCTTCGGTCAAAAATGGGCATTGGCTTAGCATAATTCTTCTCTGCCAGTATGTTTTGGTCTGCAGGATCAATAGTGACTGCAACAAGATGAGTGATTAAATGATGCACAAAAATTATACCAATCACCTGCAATATAATGGAGTTAAGGAAGAGTTAAGGAAGGAGGAAAGACAAGAGATGGGCTTCTTCATATTGTTGTTAGATCAGACTGGTTGCTTGGGCATTAAAATAATCAGGCCAAGCTGAGTTTTTTTTTTAAAATGCTGATCAAACATCTTTTCGTACTATGAATAAAGGCTACTAATTATTTTGGATTTGATTGCAGGACTCAGAGTGAGAATCGTATCAAAAAGATTAGATCCTTACCATGTACAAGAGTTCCTGTACAGAAGGATTTACTAATCTCTCATTTTGGTGGTGTTCTGGGATTGTGCAGTTTGCCAATGGGTCAGACCACATAAGTGGCAAGGCAAATAAACCCATCAGGCACATAGACTCCTGATGATCTTGGCTGGCCTCTCTCCTGGGGGGCACCATAGAGATTCAAACTACTGTCTCCAGCCGTTTGAAACAGATGGGTTTCATAAGCTCTGTGACAGACTGGGAGAGGACTAATTTTGCATCTTTTCTGAGAAAGTGACATTTCAGAGCCTAAGGGTAATTATGGTAAATGTAATCTTCTGTGCAGGTTTTTATTCTTCATTAGGAGGATATCCCATTAGCTGCTGCAAACACAAGCAGAAGGGAGCAAAGATGTATCCCCCCCTTACCAACACTTATGCCAAGTTGTGCAACTCAGTATGTAACAGATAATGTCTTAATATGAGGCAATTTACCTCCAAATGCTATACCTTTTGGTTAGCATTGCAATAGGATTCAGCCAGTACCTCTGACTATATAGACGTGGTTCTTGGGAAAAGTGGGCTCTCTGCTTCTACCACAGTCAGCTTCTTTGAGAAAGTGAGGGGTAAAAAATGGGATATGAAAGGTTGCAAAACACCTGACAAGAAATCTCTGGTTTCCTGTGAATCTGTATATGTTGTATGGATTTATTTATTTATGAAACATCATGTAAACCAGTAGTCCCCACCCTTTTCTTAGTCATGGACCAGTTGGGGAGGTCGGGTTTGTGCGCGGCGCGGTGGGTACCCCCCATGCTCATGGATGTGCAGGATGTGCTCGCAGAGGGGTGGAGTGTGCTCATGCACATGTGCAAAGGGGTGGAGCACGCTTGTGCACATGCATGAAGGGGCAGTGTGCTCGTGGAGGGGAGGGGTACACTCACACGCATGTGCAGAGGGGCATGCTCATGGGTGGGCGGGGCACCTGTGTGTGTGCGCAGTGCGTGCAGAGGGGTGGGAGCTCTGTCTCGGTGGCTCAGTCCTCCCATGGCCACAGACTGGCACCGGGCTGAGGACTGGGGGTTGGGGACCCCTGATGTAAACAAAAGACCACTGATGTAAACAAAACAGGTGTTACAGATATATTATCTGTGAAAAATTACTACCATATTAATGTAACCCCTATGAAATATTGGTTCAGTCCAAAGGGTGGGGCTTTGAGTAAGAGATTTGAACCAGAAAAAGCAAGAGAGCTGAATAGGCTGGAGCTGCTGTTGCCTCTTAGACTGCTAAGGCCCATGCCAATTTGGTCTAGGTATAATTCCTATATGTTTGTGTTGCATAAGTGAAACCAGATAGTGAATTCAGTTATATGTAATTGATTTGATATTTTATTCCATGGTTTCAAAGAGTGTGCATGTGGAGCTTATTCTTTTTATGTTATGGATACCCAACCAAGCTGAGCAAGATATCTTGGATTTTTGTCTGATTTTGAATTCAAAGGACATTTAAACTTTGCAATTCTACAAGAAATTTCTGTATTGTGCTGTTGCTGAGGACTTGGGTGCACATATTGTAGCATTTTGTTGTTATAATTGCTCAGGTTGTCTGTTATGTAGCTGTGAATAATAAGAGAGTTGATTTGTGAAATTGTCTTTGCAGGGGTCATCAATAGATATCTAAATGAACAAATAGCCCCATAGAACTCAGAAATGTTACATTAGCATACACAGGATCAGGTGGTTTGGCTGCCAAAACCTAAAGTCTGCAGGAACATGTAATAATTTACTGTTGTTATGTTCTGTAAACATTGACCTCAAGGACACTAACCACTCACTTTGATAAACTTTTTCCCTGGATGCCTACCAGTGATTCTTTCCTGAATGAGGCATACTAGTGTCTCTGTACAGGTCTAGTATATTTTTGGTAAATCCCAAACACAATAAAGCAACGCTGCCCCAAATCTCACAATTGTTTTAGAAATTCAGAGACAATAACTGTGCAACCTTATGCACGTCTGTTAAAAAGCAAGTTCCACTGAATTCATTAACTTGTAGGTGTGTGGTGTATGGGTACAGACGTAGCTAACTGTTTTCAACTCTTACGGCACAAGCAGTTCAAATTCAATTTTAGTTTTATCACACTGTTCTAGCTAAAAGGGAGAAAGGATACAGCATACGCAACATTCTTCCATTCAGTTGGGAGAAGAGGTATGTAGATGCCAAAGCCTACTATGGCCAAGTATGAATAAAGCAAGAGTGTGATCAGCTGGAATGAGTGGAGAGGTAAAGACCACCCATTCACTCTGGAATGCGCTGGTACCACTATGAAGTTATTCAGCTGTTCAGGCCTTGTCTGCCTCAGCTTCTTGTTATAACAGGTCATCTGCAATACAGAACCCAAAATCACTTGTTAGAAACTGCTGTTGTGCCTTTCAGAGCTAACCTCCCACCCCACAACATGAAGACTGTCTGCACATATTTGTGGAAAGTGGTTACAGATACAACTCAAGTGTCATCTACCTGCAAATCAGTGGTGCTGAAGAATGAATACAGCACCTAGGGCTTTCCCCCCCAAAGCCCAAGCGGGAGCAATTGCATGTGCTGGAGCACATGGATAATTGCAATCTCCTTGTCCTGGTGAGTGAATGAACTGATAAGATTTCACAAAATAAGCATAGAGAAAGTCAGTGAAAAAGGAAAGGACTCAAAGGATGGGTATTTATTTCATGTTCTTTGATGTAGGCCCTCTTTCATGCTAGCAGTTTAAATTAGGAGTGAGCATTGGAACTGGCCAAAATGCATCAGGTCTTTTTGAAGAGAGACTGCACAAAAAGAAATAACAGGCCGGTCCAGCCTTATTTTCCAGCTTTGACCGGTACTGGATTTATAAGGGGGCAAAGGGGGCAATTGCCCCGGGGCCCTGCCAGAAGGGTCCTCCCCAACAAAAATATAATAATCTAAATATTAGTTTCTTTTATTTTTAGATTGGGAAACAATACTTCTCGTGCAATCATCTGTAAAAATGCCTGAATTAATCATTAAGCAAAAAAAAAAGCATGTGTTTAGGGCCTCAAGAGAAGGGAAGGCTCCCACAGAGTTTGCAAAAGGAAAGAGACTAGATCTTTGCTCTTCTCAACTGAAGCAAAGACCTGGAGCAGATTTCCCGATTCTTTCCACTTATCTGGAACAGATATCCTGCATCCATCCACTTAGCAAATATCTGGTCTTTTGAAAACTGGGTGGGAGTCTCTCAGGGCAAAGGCACTGCACCTGTGACTCTGATCCGCAGGAACAAGAGGGCTTTGAATAAAGTTCATTATCGGTTTGTCCTTCAGTTTTAGGGATCTTCCTTTTCCAGCAAGGCTTTCCCTGTGCCAGTTCATGTCCCTACTCAGCTCTGGATTAACCATTAAGCAAAATAAGCATGTCCTTAGGGCACTGAAAAGGGAAGGGGGCACCACAGAGGGTTTTATTCAATGCTGAATTTACTATGGTGCACCCTCCTTACAAATCACATCTATACATTCCTCACCCTCAAGTACTTCTCAATTTCCATAGATGCAACACCAGACCTGGTTCATGTTGACCAACTAACAGTTATTGTGAGGTATGTTGCTTCTTGGATGCTGATAAGAAAGATTTTTAAATTTCCTACAGACTGGCTCTCATAAGGCTGAAGTTCTGGCTACATCTCTACTAGAACTGATAGGAAAAGGAGGTATTAAGCATGATGGTAACTAGTTGGTCAGAGAGAGATCATTCAGTAAATTGGCACTAATAAAGAATTATCT